CGGGTGTGTGTGTGTGTGTGTGTGTGTGTGTGTGTGTGTGTTTGTTCACTACTCACTGCTGTGTGTTCACTTGAATGGGTAAATGCAGAGCACAAATTCGAAGTATGAGACACCATACTTGGCCACACGTCACGTCCTTTACTTTTTCACCCTTCTCTACCCTATGGAGTGCTTAACCAGCTGTCACCAAGAGCAAGTAAAGCTCCTTTGAGCTGCCCTGCCTTCAAGGGGAAGCCTACACAACTGCTTTACCCTAAAAGGAGAGTGATAAAAGCATGGCATAAAGCAATGTGCATAGAAATCCCCATAGCTCAGGCACTAACCCCAAAGGAGAAAAGAGGGCCGTAAGGAATACAACGACCACTCAGATAAATATATAGTTTAGTCATGAAACTCTAGATGGCACAGGCTGATGGGTTGTTAACGTAACTGATGATATTCAGAGAGTTAAACGACTTGGCACAAGCTGATTGGTTCATGCTGCATATGCAGCCAATGAGCTTACTGCCTTGCATTTCACCGTATCGCCGTATGCATTGGCAGTAGCAAGTTACTGTACTTGCTTGCAGCAGCAGCAATCATCTACAACTACTGCAATAACCAACAGCAGCAGCAATTTAGCAGCAGCAGCAGTGTAGCAGATCTATTCCACCAAGACCAAATACATTAACATTGTCATATCATCACCATGCTAAAATCGTCAGAGAGTTGTCATGATTAAACTATAACTACTGAACCAGTACAGGATGAAGGCAACTGAAATCATTAATAATCTACTTTATTCTTGTAGTCTTTAGTTTTTATAGCATGCTTCATATACAGTGGTCATTTTAAACATGTTTTGGTATCCAGTCACCACTCTGATTGTTTTTTTTTTATATTCTATTTTTTTGTATTTTTGGGGGGTAAATTTGCCTATGCATGTGTGCATGCCTTGTATGTTTACGAGTGTGCATATGAGTTATTTTAGGGATGCATGATATTGGATTTTTGCCGATATCCGATATGCCAATATTTTTCAACTCATTTTGACCGATACCGATACCGATATATTTCCTTTCGTTTGGAAACAACACCAAGTCTCTCCTGTGCAGAAATTATAAGCAAAATATTTTTTTAATTTTGATTAGTTTTTAACAAGAACTAATTTGTTAGAATTAAATAAACAACAATGAAGGTTTTTTTGACAGTACATTGAAGCTATGAAAATAACTATAGCTGCCCTAAATAAACTATATATCAATCTCTGCATTTTTTCCCCCCAGAAAGATGCAGTGTTAACCCTGACATTTTATTCTAAGATTTGACATTTGTAGATGGTCTAAAGCAAAAGTGTTGTAAAAATTCTGAAAATCTTTTAGAGCTTATGATTTGTTTTATGATCAGTATATATAAAATTAATTTACAAGTGTCATGTTTGATTTTTTTTCATGTAAGCTATAGCTTCTGACCTTTAAATCAAAACATACTCGTAATTTTATGACATCAATTACTGCTTTATTTAATCAGAAACACAGTCTAAATGCAATTTGGGAAGGCTATTTTACTTTTAATTTAATTAGAAGTAGGACAACAGCGCCCCCTACAGATTAAAACTCCTTACCGAACGGGCATTAGGACCTGGGGGAGGCTGCCGCTACTACTGCCACTGCACGTGCTATTACTGTTTATACTCTATCACACACGCGTCATTCTGTACATGCTTTCACAGATTAAATTCAGCGATCCAAAACAGTCAATCTAATCATCATTCAGACAAAATTTGCCTCAAGAATGAGCCACACTGCTGACCTGATCTAATCACTAGCACACCCCGAGCACATGTGAGTTGAGGTATTTTTCTTATCGGCAAGACATATAGGCATAATTTTTCATATCGGACCGATGCCGATATTTACATTTAAAGCCATTATCGGCCGATTCCGATATCAGTCCGATAATATCGTGCATCCCTAGTTATTTTATTTTTTTATTTGTTCTTGAAGTGATTATTGAATAACTTCTGGTGTCTGGTTAGACTGGGTGGATCATACATTATATTTGTATATTTGTTAATTGTATAACTGTATATTCTGAAAACTTTACATTTTAGCCTGCAGGGCACCATCTGTTGGTGGTAGTTTTAATTATTCTAATTGTGAGTATTGGACATATGATGTGGCTCCTATTGTCATCACATATTTTTAGGGATTTAGGGGATGTCTGGGGAAGTGGTGGACTTAAATGTGCAGGGGATGAGATATGTTTGTGGGGTTCATTGTTCCATTCACTAGTTTGAATCTGAGCATAGGTTAGAGATGGACCGATCGATCCTGAAGTATCCTTATCCTCACATAAAATATCAGTTCTAAAGTGCAATTTAAACCATAAATGTAATTTATTTAGCAAGAAATTTAGTTCATAAAATAAGCTTCTAAGTGAAAAAATAGCCAATGTAAGTGAATAATGGTGTAGGATATAATTGCTCATCGGAACATTCTGAAAGACAGAGCCAATCAATCAAAGACAGAGTTTGCTGCTGATGCTTCGCTCACAGTGCTTGTTCAAATAGGGCTGCGTTTCTCAAAAGCATCAGAAGCATAAGTAGATCTTAAGAAACCATTACCACCACTGGTCTCTGGCCTACATAACATTGTTACTTAGGCTCACGATGCAAACAAAGCCCAGTTTTTTTGGGAAACAAACCCCAGATCAATGCTTATTAAATGACAGAGAAACAATTGTGAGTTATTTCACAATAAACTAAAAAAATCTTACTGACGTCAACATTTTGAGCAAAGGAAATTAATACTTTTATTCAGCAAAGATGCATTAGATTGATCAAAAATTACAGTAAAGGCTTTTACATTGTTACTAAAAATATATATATTTCATATAAATGCTGTTATTTTGAACTTTGCTCATCAAATTCTGAAAAATGTGTCACAGTTTCCATACAAATATGAAGCAGCACAACTGTTTTCAAATGTTTCTTGAGCAGCAAATCAGCATATTAGAATGATTTCTGAAGATCACGTGACACTGAAGACTGGAGTAATGATGCTGAAAATACAGCTTTGATCACAGATGCATTTTAAATTACATTTTAAAATATATTCAAATTGAAAACAGTTATTTTAAATTGTTATATTTCACAATATTGCTTTTTTTACTGTATATTTGTTCAAATAAGAGACTTCTTTCAAAAACATTACAAAATATTACTAAATATTACATAGCAGGTGTCTTGATTTTCTTTTGGATTTTGCATTTAAGTGTTAAGCATTGTACAATTGTTAGCATTATTTCTTTTGTTTTGAGATTATTTGGTTAATTTTGTCTTCTATTGCAGGAACCGAAGCTTCCAGGCAGGCCGCTAGTAGGCCCTTGTGTGCAGTCGTGGGACTCGCTTTATCTTACTGTGTATGTGGGTGTGTGTGTGGGTGGGTGGTGTAGTGAGACCTGTGCACCTGGTGGTAAGATTTGTGCGATTATAGGAGCCTTGCACTCAGTAAACTAGCTTACCTGCCATAGGTAAGCCTCGGTTTTTGTTTGGTACGTGTGTATTCTATGTTTGTAAATCTAATCCGGTCTACAGTTTAATGATTTTTAAGATTAGTGCTTGATGATTGTTGAAATAAAGCTTTTGTACTTTGGCATCCACGTCTCAGGCCTCTGTATTTGAAACCACGTTCCTGTGTGCCCTTTGTAGGTGACCAGTTCATAATTATTTTTCCCTATTGGACTGGGTGGCGTAGTCAGCTAAATTTAGAGTTCCCTTTCCGATTATTACTCCCGTTACACTAGCATAGATGAAATAATCCTAGGAATAGGATTATTTAATCTATGCTCAGATTCAAACGCAACCGGTGCTTTTACTAAATAACTTGCTGCTTTTATATACTTTAGATCTTTGCAAATTATATCTATAATTACACAAAAAAAGACAGACTTTAATACTTTTCAAAAGTTAAACATTGTTGTAAATTCTTACCTGGACAATTGGACGCTGCAGCAAGGGGGTCTGGTAGTTTAGCCTCTTTTATACATGTCTCAGGGAAACTGATTTTTTTAAATCCTGGATGCTCACTTTCCTTCAAGCAGAATATGGTGCATTTTATTTCACTCATTTAAATGTTGCTGTTTTTTAACTAATACTTTTTTCAGTCCTTACCATTTGTATTTCTCCTTTTTCAGATCGGATATACTTCCCCAAGGGTTGGCTTTTATCAGTGTAGTTTTTGTTTTCTTCAGTTTCCTGGTCTTGGTTAATGAAATGGAAAAAAAAAAAGTATACAGAATGTTACTGCAATTTTCGCTTCTTTGACTGCCACAACTCTCATCTCACCACAGTAGGTCAATAGCAAAAGATGGTTATATGTTAGTTAGCCCTATGACTGTAAGGCCCTTTTGATCGTAGCACAAGTAGGCGAGGTAGATGCATTCTAATCTACACATGATATTTTAATCTGACTCTTCTGTCCATTTTCAATGACTTTCCAGATTTTTTTGAAGGGAGGGTCTTCTATGGGCTGCTGTATGTATGGGCTTTTTCTGATCTTTCAATCTAATATTGTGAAATAAGCTCACACAATTTATGAACATGAAAGAAGACTATGGAAAATGATACAGAGAGCAGCAGCTTTCGTTTCTGTACTGACAGCTGCAAAACTATGCTGAATGCTGTGGTTTCTGTTAGAATCAGGAAAGAGGAGATACGGTAATCTGGTTAGAGAACATTGTGCTTTTTAAAAATCTTTGCTTCAAACCAAACTTACGATTTCAGACAGTAAAGTTTAAATCCCATCTGGCTAGCACACTTCAACAACACGTCCCATAATGATTAAAGTACCCTTATTACATTGGAAGAACTAGCTGAACAACCCAAACTTCCATCGCATGCATGACTTGAGCAGGACATTTCTCATTGGTAAATTTTAATAGCAGATTATGATACAGATTAAAATAGTGCCCCACTCTGTTATAATAATAAAGACCCGGAGAAAGAACTGTAACATTCTATGGCTGTACTGAAGCACACAATGAAGTAGATTCCAAACAAATAATAATTTTTAATAATAAATCCACACAATACACAGGAGAATAATAAAGAGAAACACAACCACGTTACAAATACAAGAACGGACAAACAAACCAAGGGAACCCAAAAATGTGTGAACACAGCCCTAGTGAAACCTGGAAAAATTTGTTTGCTCACCACTTCCACTGTTTTGCAGGTTTTCTCTCTCCCTTAATAGTGTGTTGAACATCTCTCCAGTGTAGCACTGCTGTTGATTCTCATTAAAAAGAGACTCAATCTTGTTCATCAGGTCTCTCATCTCTGATTTGTTGTTCATCATCTTGTTGCAGTTGTGAAATCTTCCTCCACATTTCTCCAGCAGCTGTTCCAGAACAGGGTTTTTCTTTAGATCATCAATTATAGTGTCACACTCTTCTTCTCTCGCATGGGTGAAGAGAATCATCACAAATTGAAGAACTTTTTCACCAAACACTCTCTGAAGCCATTCAAGACCCAGCTTATCAGCATCTGTTAACTGACCCAGTCGCACAACAAAGATGAAGGTGTGGATTTCATTTTCATTCAGTATTTGACGAATGAAATGATCATCGTGATCAGTCTCATGTAATCCAGTCATGTTGATCACTGATACATGACATTCTAATATTTTCCTCATCAAAGGAACAGTGCTGGATATTTTTGCATTTTCTATATTTGTCTGTTTTTCTCCTAGTAAAATGTTTTCATGTCCAAACTGGACTGATGAAGAGTTTCCAAATAGCACAATGGTCAGACTGGGATCTAGGATAAACAACACATAACTATTATTTACTGTAACACATCAAAACACTGTAACATAAGAAAAAGTCTCATTATAAGCAACAATGTTGTTTTCTTACCCATGCTCCTGCGTAATGAATCAGAATCACAAAGTTCAGGTGCTTCACTCACATCAGGTTTGGAGTTGCTCCTTTTTTCTGCAGGCTCTTCATTTTCCTGAAGAAAGATGATTAATTATGGTCTTTTTCCAGCAAGGTTGACCAGTGAGGAAGACTATGGGTACAGATTATTAATTTCTGTCATTAAAACTCTCAAAGAGACTGCTATGGTAATAAATATGGACATGGCAATGTTAATGTATTTGGTCTTGGTGGAATAGATCTACTACATTGCTGCTGTTAATTGCTGCTGCTGCAGAGCAAGTACCGAGACCTGCTACTGCCAATTCATTCACAGACATGCTGCTGAGAATATGTAAGACTGCTGCTGCTGCATACATAACATACATGAAATAACCCCCCAACAAAGCAGGAGACACGAGAAGACAATACAAGCCATTATTATACAGGTGCATCTCAATAAATTAGAATGTCGTGGAAAA